TTATGTTTTAACCAATATCCACATACAAATTCCCTGGACTGATCTCTATATATTTCCTTAAAATCTTAGTTTGGAGAATTTGTTAAAGAATTACAGTGCGACCGGGAAAACCAGGAACACTTGAAATATTTCAAGAATGTTTATTGTGTTAAGATAAATCACAGCAAAGATCAGGACATGCGAGCAATCCACAAAACCACGGTTTTCCTGGTTTGACTGTAAAGCATTTTCCTTTAGGTGATGGTTTCATTAATTCTGGTAACCTTTTCATTTGATGATGTCTTGATTATGGAAAATTTATGTTGGTCACTCACAGGACTTAAAGGGTTAAAGCAGTTCATGACTTTAAATTAGGACACCTTGAGCATTGCAGTGTTTTCCAGGGAGAAATATTTTTGGCCGTCATTTGTATATCATGTCATGTACAGGATCACTCTGTCTAAATTATGCTAAAAATGAGTTAGCAGAGGTTTCTGTTATCATTGCTTTAGGTACATTTTTCATAGTAATTTGTCATTAATTTTCTGTTTTACTTTGCATAATATCACTTTTTCTCTCTCTGGTGCTCATGGAAAGATGTTAAAACATGGTAAGTTTTTTTTTAATGCGCTCTACAATATGTTTTTACACTATAGAATATCATCTCTTTATACAATGTCAATATTTCAGTTCATTCTCAACTATCGTTAAAGTGACAGTGCTGACCTTATGGTGATTTCAGGTAGGGCAGGAGTACCCATGGAAGTGATGGGTCTGATGTTAGGAGAGTTTGTGGATGATTATACAGTCAGAGTCATTGATGTATTTGCAATGCCACAAAGTGGAACTGTAAGTCATTCATTTATGTTTATTACTATCAGATATACGTATTAACTAAAATAATATTCATTTTTTCTCACTTCATCGCACTCACTACCATTTTTGATTTACAGTAATTAAATTTGCAATTTTTTTTCTGTGCTTTTCCACATGTAAAACTTTCAAGTTTGTTATGACAAATCATCAAACCAATTTATCAACAATTTTTTGGTTGGCAAGGCTGTGCTTTAGTAGTGCCAGGTGGTCCCCGGTGCCTTACTTTTGCTCTTGGGTGACTAGAAAATCTTAGTTTTTTTCATACAAATTGTATGCTGGCCACCCTGGATTTCTCAAGTTCAGAGTAACTGTACTGGGCTCCCTTCATTTTTTCATAGAGCACAGCCTTTACTGGATCGCCACCAGCCTTGAACACTTTGATAAAACAAGCCATTGAAACATAGGATCAACTAGGAAGATGGTCATGCATTCTTAACTGATAATGTAATAAATATTGTACTTGAAAAATCAAGGAAGCTACACAATGTATGGAGATTAAGGCGAGACACCCATCACTTCATTTTTGTCGCAATACTCCTATACTGTTTTATGGTTAGGTAACTAATATGTTACATGTTACTACCCCTACTCAACCAGACTGACGAAGGCTGAGTGACTCAGCCTAAATAGCAATAATGCATTGGTGAAATTCATTACGTCTCAGTTAAATTCTTTCAAATGATGCATCTGGAACGTAGAACAAACATTTTTGCTTTTATCCTTTACCCATACACCCTGTAACATCACAATGATTATTAAATTTCGTTGGTGTTTTTGCTTTGTTTTGTTTCGTACTAGTTATATATTGTTATATTTATATTTACTTATAGGGTGTAAGCGTTGAGGCAGTAGATCCTGTCTTCCAAGCAAAGATGTTGGACATGTTAAAACAGACTGGCAGGTGATTTATTTTTCCTCATTACATTAATATTATTCTTTGCTCTGAAACGCACCAAAAGCCAAATTTTAAATCTAGTCTAAATCTGCATTTTATAAAAGTGTTGAAGCATAAAATATGACCAAGCAAAAGTGATAAATGCGTGTAGCTTTATGTGAATGCTCACTTTTGAGAGTTTATCCAAAGACTCAAAAGTTGGAATCACTTTATCACATGATTGTACACCGTACCACAGAAAATTAATGTTTGGTTCCTTGCATTTCAGTGGTCAAAGTTTAGGATTATACCATTAAGGTGTTTCAATACAGTTTTTCCACGTTATAACATTCACTGTTTTGATGTTGTGCTAATTTTTCCAAATAATTTTATTAATGTGCACCATACATACCTCCATTGTTAGAACATTTCACTGAGAATATTGTCAATGATTTGCATTCATAAGATGCAATAAAATTTATGGAGTCATGGAAGTATGAATGGTGCACCCTGATTTGGAAAAATTAGCATAATGTCATAATAGTGAATGTTTTAGTGAGGATTTTTGCCGGTTTGTAGGTTAGGTTCGTCTTGAAAGTTCCAGGTGTTACACGGAATCAATCCTAGTGAAAGTTTCAGACATAATTATATACATCGTTAAGATTATGTCATGAGGTTTTAAAAGAATTCTGTCAAGCCATTCCAGAGATATACAGAAAAGTGCTAAAAGTCAAAATTTAGGATAACATTACACTTAGACAGGTGGTGAGACATGTTAGTTTTCAGGATCACAAAAAAAAAAATACACAAAAATTTCCAAGCAGTGAAAAATGATATTTAAGTAGCATTCTGAGGCTACTTAAGGTGAATAAGAACTTTTTTATTAAACAGTTTATCACGTCTATTGAAAATAATTATAAGGTTTGGAATATATTTACATTTTATTTGAATTCAAACTCACAAAATTTTTTACTTCTCACAGAATTTATTTGCTAAACACCACACTTTCAAGTTCCTGTTGTCAGATTTTCTGAGTAGCAGGTCTAGATCGTGCAAAAAGTGGCTTTTATCCATTTCAAAGTTTTTTGTTTATTGTTGTCACAGTGATATTGATTTCTCTGCAGTTTGGCAAACTTCAATCCATAATCAGTCAGTGGAGAAAATTTTATAGTGATTGGACAGGGATAAAATCACTTTTAAAGCAATTGAAAAATTTTGGTATGGCCTCCGAAAAACTGTATTGAAACACCTTAACAGACCCAAAAGTCATAACCACCTTTTACATGTACAACATAATAAACACCACCACAGGAAAGTACTGCTCAGTAGCTTTCATTTGAATGATCACACCACAGGATTTCCTTGTAAGACTCAAGAGTTAAAACCACCTTGTACAACATAACTCTTAGTTACTTCCAAATTTGCGTTGATTTTAATGAAAATACATGTTGAAATAATTCTCATATGGGTTTTGCATACCCTGATGCCTTCCTCAGAAGCTACTGAAACCTCAGTAATTAGCCCATGCTGCAGACGAAGCTAAACTCTGCTTAAGTCCGTCTGTGAAACAGCGCCAAAATCCTTGTTCTAGGCCACCACCTTAAGTAATTGCCATGATTGGCCTGTTGAAAATGCCATTGTTGATTTGCCAATCAAGATGAAAGTAAATTCGAAAAGCTCTTCTGGTAATTTGTTGAGTCCATTTGGGGCCGGAACAAGAATATTGGTGCTGCTTCACAGACATTACTAACCAAGGTTAAATATGTCTGCGATGCAGGCTACTTAGTAATAAACTGTAGGAGATTCTGAGTGGTACAGCTGTAGACATTGTTGTTTGTTTGTTTCTTAGGCCAGAAATGGTGGTTGGTTGGTATCACTCTCACCCGGGCTTTGGCTGCTGGCTCTCTGGAGTTGATATTAACACTCAGCAGGTACGTATTGCATGTACATGTTCTGGTTCAATTTATCCTTGGTTTAAATTTTATTTCCCTTTGTTTTGGGGTATGGTAATGTATGATAATGAGTGAAAAACAAAGAGAAATAAAATTTAAACCAAGGATAAAATTGAACCACAACATACACATTGAACTGGCATAAAAATCACCTTATGTATATGGAAGTAAAAAAAAAATGAAGAGTATTGGAATAAACAAGGGCATGCATTAGTAAGGGATCTGGAAAATCATTTTGATACATTGTGATTCCCTTGGTGTTGTAACTTTGAGAACCCTGCTCAGGTGCATGGTTTATACTTTTTGTACTGGCATGTGCCCTGTTTCTTTGGGCTTAATGGATTGACCTATTTTTTTCAAGAATGGCCTTGGGCTTCAGTGTTTGCACGCACCTTGAAAGTCCTTGAAAGTGAAAGTCCTTGAATTTAAAATATAAATTCAAGGCCTTGAAAATCCTTGAAAATTACAGTTGTTCCTGTAAAGTCCTTGAATTTCGGTGCTTACTTTGTCCAACCCGGATTCCCAAGTACCTAAAAGGAGCAAACACAGAAATGTCTTCAGGATAAAATTGCTCATGTTGTGGAAGAACTAAATAAGACATAGACTCAAGGCTTTTTTAGCACTGAATGGAGTCCTTGAAAAATGGGAAATGTGTCCTTCAAAGTCCTGGGAAAAGTCCTTGAATTTTTTGTTCAAAAGATGGGGACGAACCCTTGGGCTTATTTGCTGTAAAGACCGTGCAGACCAGAGCCTCTTTAATGTAACCCACACCCAACAAAACCCATGCAAGAAAAGCTCAAAAATCACTCACCAGAGGTTAAAACCACTCAGCTTGCTCTAGCCTGCGTGCAATCTCTCAAGCTTGGGGTGAATGACTGCCCCTCCCACCCCATGTCAAGCAAAACTAGATCTTGTCCGCGTTTCTGCAGGCTAGACAGGCTGGATTTACCAGTAGTGTATCACTGAAGATTCGTCAGCAATATCAAGGCGAAGTTAATTATTAAGTGCTAACAATTTACTGTTGTTTTATTTAGAGCTTTGAAGCGCTGTCTGAGAGAGCTGTAGCAGTTGTTGTTGATCCTATACAGAGTGTCAAAGGAAAGGTATGGTCTCATTGTAAAGAAAATGACACGGCATTGTGATCATAAATCCAGCTAGGCTGAACTTTTCACATGCAGTGTGATGGCCCATTAAACTAGATCCGCATGCTGCAAACCTGCAAGGCGCCTTGGGTTTGAGCCCCAGTTTGTCCCAAATGTGGATAGGCCCTTTGCAGCTATGGATGATACGACCCTTCCTCTACCAAAATCATGGGATACAAACTGGCCTTTGAGAACTGTCGTGCATTCATATGGTCACCTTTCATATGAATACGTGGCAAACATGTTCGCCTACCAGTACCCGAAACAAAAGCAAGCGTTACCTTAGGTAGAGCGAGAAACATTGGCCTTTCTTTAAAAAAAAAAGCTGATGTGCCTTTAATTTGGTGACTGGTCGTTTCAAGCCCACGGCGGGGAGTGGTTTCGCTAACGTCCCGTTCGCGAACGTCTCATGTCGTTCCGCCAAGAAGCGAAACGAGCGCTGCGCATGTATATGCTTCGTTCTCTCAGTCATGATACAAAAAAGTGGGATACGCATGTATATACTTCGTTCTTTGACCCTCTGATCAGGTGAAAGCAGTTAGGGAACTGACCCAACACCTACGCGAAACGACTTCAGAAGTGGGCGAACAGGACGTTGGCGAAACGACTGTTAACCTTTTAGTTTATATTGTTTATTTTGTATTGTTTCAAACCACTCGTTTAGGTGGTAATTGACGCCTTCCGACTCATCAATCCCAACATGATGGTGTTAGGTCAAGAATCAAGGCAGACCACTTCCAATCTTGGACATTTGCAGAAGCCTTCAATACAGGTGCAAGTTCTTTCTACAGAAAATTAATATGGTTTATTTATTGGAGGCCTTTAGATTCGAGGAGGAGAGCGAGATTCAATTTAAGGTTTTTTCGCTTCAAAAAAGACACCCCGGAAAGCTTCATTGTACTTTTATTCATCAGAAAAGGTAACACGGCGATCTTCCCTGTTTAGAGGCGGGTGAAGTTTGGCGGAAAGCATTTTCAAATAAAATTATTGTCACGCTTGTCACACAAGGTTTGCCGTCGTCCTTCCTCTCCCGTCCAGTGTGGGCGTACTATTTAATAATGAGAAAATCTCGTACTCGCAAACGTCCTCATCTTAAAATCTGATGGTCCCTATTCTCTTCTAAAATTTTTATGCTTATTTCTTTTATTTAGGCTTTGATCCATGGTCTCAATAGACACTATTATTCCATCTCCATCAACTACAAGAAGAATGAGCTTGAACAGAAGGTGTGCATGTAGCTTTTATTTCTATATTTATATTATTTATGTACTACATGTAAGGCTTAAGTTATTTTTCTAGCCAATCAAAAAGCTCTTAGACGACCAAATGAGCCAATCATATCTCGCAAGTCTATGTAGCTGACGCCAAGCGCGGGAATGGCCATGTGTGCAAGGTTTGGGGAGCAACGCTGGTGCAGTGGTGAGAGCACTTGCCTCCCACCTTTGTGGCCTGGGTTCGAACCCCCGGGATTCGTTTCATAAGTATGTTGACTTTGATCGTCCGGGTGAACGCAGCTCTTGAATAGGACTGTTGTTGACAGTGACTGACGTTTCGACAACCTACAAGGTGCGGTGGTCATCTTCAGAGTCGAAGTGATTTGTATCACGTCAGTTGATGGTATTAAACTATGGTTATTGATCTGTCATTCCACGTGGTACAGACACCGCCATGCTGGGGAGCAAAACATGCACTGGGAAAAAACAATAAAATTTACCATTTTAAATGATGTCAGCTCTTTCATTGTCCTGTGTCAGTGCGTGTCTTGGTCTCTAGAATGGCAGCTTTGAACCACGTGAATGACTGGCAGCAAAGGGCCTATTCTGCCTAGACTACGAGTAGTCCCTATTTATCCTCAGGGATAGTAGAGCGAACGAAACGCGAGCGCGCTTGAAAATCACCCCACGCGAGAAAGGCGAGACGCGGCGGGGAGAGGAAAAATTGGGACTTGTGGTTCAATTCTACCAGATGATCGCATTTCTGATTCTGAAGTTTCTGTTCCTCAGATGTTGTTGAATCTACACAAAAAGACGTGGATGGATGGATTAACTTTACAAGATTACGACGAACATTGTGCGCTTAATCAGAAAACAGTGAAGGTATGTTCAATGGCTTAGCTCCATGATTACCACCCTTTTCGCTGAGGGGTGTGGCCTCCACGTGCCGCAAAAAGCTGATAAAAGTTTATGACGTAACTCAGATTCCTGAAAGGGAAGCAGGTCTACCTGGGATGAAAATTATTACCAGAATCACAGCGCAAAGTTTCAGTTGTGTAGGAGCTGCTCGTAAAGTCTTTCCTGATAGGTCGCAGAAAACAATGACATGTTTTTTTTTTTAATTGTTTAGTATTGTTTGGGGTCAGGGTTAGGCATAGCCTCCCACGCACTTTTTCATCCCTACCCACCAACGCCTGCTCAACCGAAGACAACATTCCTTTCCAAAGCTTAGCCAATTACATTGTACTTTCCAAATTCTGGAAAGTTGACCTTGACCGCAAGGTAATCTGATAATTATTCGATCTGCATGAAACACTGGAAAAACTTTCTGACCTCTAATAAAGGTTAGATTCAGAGCGGCAAAAATAAGATTGAGTCAAATTTTAAAATACTCTATGCACTTCATAACCTTAGCAAAGGAAAGAAAAAAGGAAAACGTTAATTCTAGGGTCACGTTTAAGTCGCCTTTAGCCTGTCAACACTTTATTGCACATCTGTTTATTGTTCACTTACCACGCAAATAAAACAATGGGAAAGGAATGTTGTTTTCGGTTGAGCAGGCGTTTGTGGGGAGGGATGAAAAACGAGCTCCCCTAAAAACGCCTGCGTGGGAGGCTAGGTTAGGCACCATTGGTGACTTCTCTTCCATGCAGATGCTACATGACCCCAAAGTTTAGTGTGTAAACCTGAGACACCCTCTCAACACGTTCTTCTTTTTTTCTTTTGAAAACTCCAGTTGGGTTCTTCCGCCTTTTTGAACAGAAATATCCGGACAGTGTTTATACACGGGTGTAAAAACCGTTATTTTTTTCTTGCAGGAAATGTTAGAGCTTGTCAAAAATTACCACAAGGTAAGTGACGACAGCACTAGCGCCCTTTCTTGACACAGCAACGAAATTAACTCGTTCTTCACCTTCGGGTCAGTCAAGTCAAGTCCCTTCGAAAGTGTAGCTAGTATTTCATTTCAGCATCTATACAATGCCTAGGGTTGGTTTGGGGGCAGTCTCTTGAAAGCCTTTTAAAGTTGCCTAGCACAACTCGAAACAATTTTGTCTTCTTTGTGTTCTTAAATAATCAATCATTTACAGGTCACTGTAGATTATTCTTTCTTTAGGAATATATATTGCAGACAATTCTTGGTTTTTGTTGTTATCGAAAATCTACCAAAAGTCCTTTATTGAATAGGTAATTTACGCAACACCCGAGTCGATGAGTGTTAAATCCTTTTGTTTGTTTGTAGGCAGTGGAAGAGGAAGATACCATGACCCCAGAACAACGAGCGATAAAAAATGTCGGCAAACAGGTGTGTATGAAATGAACGGTACCGAAACAAGCGTTTTTGACACCTTTTCAGGGCAATTTTTTACCCTTGCCTCGCGTTGTACGGCTGAAAGTTAAGGGCATGGTTAAAATATCATGTACCATGGTTTATGGTTCGGTAGGCAACAGTTATAAAACTATGAAAATTCTCTCGCGTTTGGTGACGCTGGGGCGGCCATTTAAATTTTAAATAGGTAGCAGGAGCCCATGATTGTGGGCTCTTATAGGCAGTCAGCTGGTTACAAGATAGACTACGAGTCTACGAACAGTCTGTCTTTTTTGTTAGTCCGTCGAGCGAAACTCGCGAGACACGAAAATGACCACTCCCGTGACTGAAGGCACGTGCACTCCC